CTAGCGAGGCAGGATTTAATGTTTTTTCATGGCATTATGTACGAATTAGTATAGGCTAGACATATATAAACGCTGACTTAAAACATGTAGTATGATTTACTAACTAAATTAAAATATATATTTATTTTTTAATTTTTCAGCAAACGTGTGGATCCTGCAAGTTGCAGTTACCTTGCTAGAATTGTATGTTCTTTGAAGAGATGTAGTAAATCAGCCATAGCCTCTAATATGCCAATGAACCAAGCAAAGCCTTGTTGACTGCTGCCAAGAATGCTTTACTAGTAAAATTCTAAATAAATAATATTTATAAATTTATATAGGCCAACTGCAATGTGTAAACAAATGTAAAATTGTTAAATAAAAGTAAACAAATTAATGAAATTTGTTTGTTTTCTTCATTTTGTGTAATACTTTCATGTTGCACAGCGCGTCGTAATGTGTCACAGCGTGTCGCTACAGGAGGCGATCGCTTTACGAAAAAAATCTCCCTATTTTTTGGTTTTCAAACTTGGGATCTCTGGAATGTACAGGACAATGATTTAAAATCAGAATATCACTGCAGCAGGCAGGTCATCTCCAACATTCTACACATCATACATAGATACATTATCATTATTATTTCAGATATAGTATTGTATCAATATCAACATAAATTGGGCTAGATAGGCCTATCTAACAATGAAGTACTGTATCACAATGAACAGACGGCACTCATGAGGAAAGTACAAGAGCTTGGCTTACGATTCGCGGTATACCTTATTCAGCGTAAGCATAGCCTCTAAATAATGCTTACGCCACCCCTGCGCATGCTCAATAGATCGGCGTAAGCATAGTCTATGACTAATGCTTACGACTCGGCGTAAGCATAGACACTCCCTTTTTTTTTTTACAGGTTTTTTCCGCCGTGCTTCGGAAGGTAATGTGGTGACATTGAGGTTCTGTAACGCATTCACGTCTCCAGAAACGCGTTCAACCTTGACCTCTACAGCATTCACTACGTACAGTACGTGTCTCTTATACACATCTAGATGTGTACGTGTATGCCTATTGTATGTATAGGCCTATTATTCTACAATAACTGTATTTATTACTGTATCTGCTTTGTATTTTTTATACTTATGTGTTTTTGACTCTTATTATTTTTATTTTTTATTTTTTTTATTTCTATTGATCCTGTAGTTATTTTATGTTTTAGCCCAGAGACAAATCTAGTTAACTTCTTATGAATAATGTTTTTAAAGATGGCATTTTGAGATGTGGCAGTAGTACCGCTTTTTGTGTTTCAATCAGTCCCCCAGTATAAACAATAAGGTAAATAAATAGATAAAAAATGAAAGGAAGGTTCTTTCAAATATTGTGTTAGTGCTTCTTAATGTAATTTTGTTGGTTTTGATACACCGTATCATTGGGAGTGTAAGCTCAATAATTAATAATTATAATCGAGGGACTTATTCTAAAGTATTCAAGGCACTCCACGTGAAGTCTAATTAACTTAACAATTGTATATAATAAAAATGAAAAATATGTTTTGTTAATAGTAATATTTAATATACAAAATTGCACTATTTATTACACATGATAATAATATTAAGAATAATTATTTTTATTTATTATTATTATGCTATATTATTATTATTATTATTATTATTATATTTTAATGTAATAGGCCGTATACCTATTTAAATTATGTATGTTATAAAAATGGAAAATTTAAAAATATATACTGACAAAATAAATGTGGGTGTGACTCCCACGGAAGATAAAATTGTCAGTTCAGAATTCATTCCATTTGGTAGGCCTATTGGATTTGTATCAAGTGTAAAACAATTGAGGAAAGGAGATTTTCTGCATTAATATAAAGAATAAGGCATCTGTGGGTGTTATCCCATCTAATAAGTATCTTAAAAAAAAAAAAAAATCTACCCGCCACTTTTTATCATTAAAACAAGAAGGGCAAACAAACAATTCAATTATATGCCTTATATAGATAGGTCAACTAGCAAATATTAATTGAAAGATGTGTACAGTAATGGATATAAATGGTAGATAAATAAGAGCACAACACATCATTTTAGAAAAAATAACAAAGGTTAAAATTAGTGACATTAATACGTTTATTACTAAACGAATATCTCGGTCATCCCTGCAATAAACCTTCTTTAAACACTTTATTAGCATAAACAATAAGGGCTAGGCCTATACTTTATAAAATAACAAATGGTTTATATACCGTAGCTGTACAGAGCTGATGCATGCTAATTAGCAGAGATTACTTATACAATATACTGTACATGAATTTAGGAATTCTGAATTTAGGCCAACAGTACCAGACAAAATAATATAAATAATAATAATAGTAATAATAATAATAATAATAATTATAATAATAATAATATAATACAATGATAATAATACTACTACAACTACTACTACTACTTATAATAATAATAATAATCGTCCTATAATGTGCATACACCTCAAATGAGTATATTCGCACAGCAATAATAATAATAATTAATTTGCGAGTAAATATCTAATATATATACTAATATATATACACACCCTACTGGTAACCAAATTGAGGCTAATTCTTTACTACAAGTTGGGTTCTGTATTTATTCACTTCTAATAATATATTTTATAT